GTGTGTGAAACAAGGGAGGTGGACCCAAGTGCGGAACTAACAAAATATTTATTTTAACAAAAAGGCAAGAAGGTAAAATGCAAAACAAAAAACTTCCTAGAGCAAAATCCAAAAAGGGAAAACAAGGAGCCACTAAGAAACACTGGACACTGACACGCCAACAGCCAACAGCCAACAACCTACATACAACCTACAACATACATGCAACAATGAACTGACACGGAAGGGCAGAAACACAAAGACTAAATACACAGGGGAATCAGACACAGGTGAGACTAACAAGACACAGGTGAGGACAATCAGGGCAATCACACAGGGAAACACACAGAACTCAAGAATGAACAAAACACACGAGAACAAGAAGAAACACTAAACACTGAAAAACCAAACTAGAAAAAGATCAAACCATAACATGTGCAGCTCTGTGGCATTTTTAATGTGTTAGAAATGGTGAACAAAAATAGAGGCTTGTTGCATGCGGCAGTGCAAGTTGCAAATAAGGTGATGTTGATATTTTGTCACGTTTGTTGTTCTTCTTTTCTGTTGTTGAAGTTTTCCCTGTAGCTAGCTGCCAAATCATCATTCCATATTTCTAAGATTATATTACAGAAATTATTCAATAATTAATATTATGCTGGAGAAAGCACTCCACAGAAAATGTTCCAAACATTAAATATTTGGTTACTTTCAAATGAGCTCAAAATAGAAAGTTGATTTGAAGTTTTTACAGTAGAATAAGTTACCAGCACACCTGGATAAAAGCAGCATATTGTTTAATTGTTAGTTTCCGTAGCCCATTCTGACCTTATTTCCAGTGGCCTTTCTGAAGGATTTTTTGGGTTGTTATTGATATAACTGATTCAAAAAAAAGAAAAAGAATTAGAGCCTCATGCGTGGGGGGTCTCAGAGTACTTGGTTTACATTGCTTAACTCCCAAAAGAGAATCTGACTTTGCCCCTGGAGGGAAGGAACGCGGGGAAAGAGAGTTGAAAGTCACAATTAGGAGAGCAGATGACAGGAAAGGAAGAACAAAATAACAATAACAACAACTATGTAAACAAGTAGACGTTAATGGCTAAAAGAAAAACAAGTAAAATAAAATGAATCGTAATGGAAAACAAAGTTAGAACATGTTGCAAAAATCAGCGATAAACAACGAAGAGCTGAAAAACTGAAAAAAGCTGAAAAATTAGCTCAATAAATCAATAAAATAATCCATCAAATTGACTGACCAAGAGAGTGTGATTGAGGACGCAGTGTGTTGGCAATGTGCAGACAGGGCCTGAAGTGCATGTCGACAGGCCAGCAGACAAGTTCTTCCCCTGACGCAGAGCACGGATCACCTTACCCTCTACTGGTTTCACAGCTCCGTTGCAACACACACACACACTCTCAAGACTGTTTTTATATGACTGCACCTATATTTTACTTCTCTTCACGCAATGACTGAACCCAGCTGCGTAAGGTAGAGCTCCAGTAAAGAAATAAAACCATTTTTGGCACACAGCGGGTCATGCAGCCTTTTGAAAATCTGGCAGTTAGTATTGAGTAACAGCAGAGGCACAGTATTGATTAAATATCGAAAAAAGAATGAAGGCTTTTTAAACTGTTCCTCCTGCAGGCATTCAAAGTGTTGCACTTGGTAGTTCACATTCAAAAGGAAAAGAATACTTATTTCAGAAAGAAGAGAGAGAAGTCTCCTTTCTCGCCTCCACACAGCTGGCAAATATCAGCATGAAGTTGTTGTAAATGTCAGGCTGTTGGTTACAGTAATGGTCGGACACAGGACTGCTTTTAAAAAAGGTGTTTTATGACACTTGATGTTAAACCCCCTGGCTTCCCTGTTTCTTATAAATATGATTTCATCATGGTGGCTGCAGGTAGAGTGTAATCCAAAATGAAAAAAAAACTGTCAAATTTGTAATTTGTTCTTCAATCGTTTTGATATATAGCCACTTTTAGTCACTTATGTCCTGCCCATTTTAACAAACTGTTAGTGGAAAGCCTGATGAAGGTCTAGTACAAAACGCTGCCAATAAAGGTTTGTTTGCAAGTTAGAGACAGTGTTGCAGGAGTTTACCTTTAAGTTTTTGACGGACACATAGCTCTCCTACACACCTGTCTTAAGAATTGGATGTGAGAGGTTTTTTTTCTATTTTAATATTTTTTTACATGAAATTTGTTTAATATGGTATTTACCTCAGGTGAAATTAATTAAAATAGTGTTACTGGTCTTTATGAAGTCCTGCATACCTGGCAAAGTTTTAAACTGTTAACGCACTAAATGCACGGTTGCCTGATGAAATGTTTTTAACCAGCAAAAGGAAGCAATGGCTCATATTTGTTAGATAACGTTGGGTTCTTCACCTCATAATTGACATGGTTTTATTTCTTCCTGATGATAACTTTGAAATGTTGAACATTCTGTCCAAGAGTAGAAGTTATTAAGAGTTGTCTTCTTGCTGTTTTGTAGGCTCATGAACCTTCAAATATAGTTCATACTTTTCTAAATTAGACTTCCTGAAATATATTTGATCACTGTATTGCCTCATGAAACGAATGAAAAGACTGGTATCAAATAAAGTTAGCCATTCCACTTTATTACAACATGCTAAGGTGTAAGAACTTTGATGGTAAAGTTTTCAGTTTGGTAGAAGCAGTGTGATTTTCTCTGCAGTATGTATAGATGTTTCCTTAACACAAGATCCACAGTGATGGCCAACGTGACTTCTGGGAAACCATATCCACTGCTTAGCAAGCAGAAAAGGTGTCAGATTAGCATATCCTCATTTCACAACATAATGTTGCTAGTACAGAAGAATGTGCAAAGGGAAAGTCCAGAAGGCTTGGGTCCATGTGGTGGTTTGGTTTGAATTCAGAATGATCCGCAGAGGTTACTGCTTTATTTCCTTGTCAAAAGTCTCCCGGCCAATATGTGGATTCTAAGATTGAAGAAACTTTTGTTTTGCATTCAGCCAGCTCTGTTCCCTTGTAAAACCAAAGTTTGAACTTTTAAAATGTTTCCATTATTTAAGTTGATGGACTGAATACCTCTCTTTTGACTAATAAAAAGTAGGTACAAGAAATGATACAATTTGCTGATCAGCATCTACCTAAACTCTATCAGTCAGAGGAAAAATCTTGGGCACTTTATGGGAAATGTAACATTGCTCTTTTAGACGGATCCCTGTTGACCGAGCTGGGTTTAGATTTAGGGGAGAGAAGCAGGACGAGGGGGGAGTGGGACAGGTTACAGGGGTCATACGACTAGAGGGGACCCACCAGTAGGGTGACAGCTCTCTCTCTCTTTCTATTACACACACATCTGCAGAGAGCTGTCATGGAAAAAGAACTTAACACTTTCAGACCACCAGAGACGTAAGGAAACATCTTAAGTGACAGTTTGATGGTGTGTGTATCTGTGCATGCATGTGCGTCACATGTCACTGTCCTGAACTCGGACCAGTGAATTATTTGCATGCTGGTAAACGTTAGAGCATTACAGTAAAAGTCAAACTGACCAGGAACCCTTTTGCTGGGTCTGACTTAGTGATCCTGTTCTCACAGAAAGCTTGGCTCAGAACGTTCAAGGCTCTATAAATAATTGCCACATGGTGTTCAAAAAAAAAAGAAGCTCCATCAGCAATCGTGTGACTTTCTCCCCTGTCATAAAACAAAAAGAGGTTTCAAAGGGGTTTTCTTCCCACGAGATAACGCGGTGCACAACGCCATTTATACTGCACGGCCCATGGTGAGTTCAGCTGTGTCATTATGGCCTGGATGGTTGTGCATGTGTGTGTTAATGTGTGCAGGGTGTGTCCTGGGAAGGCAATCTTAAGAGCCAGGATTGGGTTCGTTTTTCTGACCACAAGCTTTGGTGTTGCTACAGGCCCTAAAAAACACCTCCTTCTGACTTCTAGCCTGTTTTATGCTACCGTGAGAGAGTGAGAGTGAAAAGAGCGTGAATAAGTGTCATGGGTATATACAGCAGGTGTCCAGAAATGCATTTTTCCTTGTAAATGTAAATCCCTGTTTAAAATGCAACCCCGTTTCTGTGTGTGTGTCACCACATGTCCATGTCTGCAAACAGGTTTAATTGTGATGTGTGTGTGTGTGTGTGTGTGTGTGTGTGTGTGTGTGTGTGTGTGTGTGTGTGTGTGTGTGTGTGTGTGTGTGTGTGTGTGTGTGTGTGTGTGTGTGTGTGTGTGTGTGTGTGTGTATGTGTGTGTGTGTGTGTGTCAGCATGGCTTGCTGTTATATCCTTCTCCCCTGTTTGTCACTGACCTTGTTAAACAGCATTTTCCCCAATGTGTGTTTGTGTATGTGTTTGTGATAGAGAGAGAAATTCTGCATTCAAGAGCTCAACCATTAATACCATGATGGCCGCTTTGCATGATAAGTAAATGTGTCTTTTTCACAGAAAGCCAACACTAATGTTTCTTTTTAAGTAAATTAAGGGTTATTAATATGTTATTTTTGGAGATTGACTACCTATTAGATTCCATTCACTTTAATTATACTTGCACATGTCCTTTGTTTCCGCACTAATGCTGTAAACCAGCAGCAGGTTCCTTTTAAAGCTCCCAGCACTACAAAGCACATAAAACTGTGCTGTAGGCCTGTTTTTCCCATGTGTTCTGCCTTTCTTCTCTCCACCTCCATCTATTTTTCTTCTTTTTTTTTTGCCAGAGAAAGGTAAAGGGAGAAAAAAAGGGAAAAAACGTAGATAAAGAAAGGACGAAGGGGAGAGGAAAATGTCAGAAAGATGGACAGATATATGTTTTCAATGAATCAGATGGAAGGAGGAAAGGTAAAAGAGGGTGAGGCAAAAAAATAAGGGAGAGAGAGAGAGGGAGGTGTGAGTGGGAGATGAACTGCTCTTTAATCAGTGAGGGGCTATACGGAGGCGGACCGAGGTGCCTACTGTAATCCGATACAGGCTCGCGCGCACAGCGTGCACGCACACGGAGACTGGGGACTGAGTGAGCAGTCCTGCTCGCTGCCACAAACCCGGCGGAGATAGGAGGGGAAGGAGCGCACTGCCGGAGCTGCCGGGAAAGCGAAAGAGGGAGAGAGAGAGAGAGAGAGAGAGACAGAGAGAGAGAGACATACAGTCAGCGTCAAGGAGTGAGAGAGAGCAAACGGGCATAGCAGAGCGTGTTTATGCAAAGAAACGCACAGTTTGCCGGAGCAGAGCGGAGAGGCTGCACGTTTATTTTCACTCGATCAGTTTTACGCACGCCGGAGCTGCCTCTTCCAAGAGACCTCTTTTATATATTTTGGGCAAGAACGCAGTGTTATCGGGACAATTGTACCCACACATAGAGGAAAATCGATGGGAAAATATTTTTCAACTTTTAATCACATGTGTTCTTACCATGTAGATGTGCATTTTGGTTAAAAGAGCCAGAGAATAAGATTTTTGGATATTTTGTCGAGAGGAGGAAACTCGTGACACTTTTTTATTGGCTTTTTGAGCTTAATGCTTTTTCGCACGTGTCTGTTTGTTCCTGTTTTTTTTTTTTTAACGGGGTTCTTTTACTTTTTCTTAATTTGAGACTTAGTCCGCCAAGGAGTGTGTCAACGAGGTTTGTATTCCCACGCGCATTATGACTGACAGGGGCTCCCGACTGTGCGCACCGCAATGGATTTTGAGGCTTCAATATTGTGTTTAGAGTGAAAATTGCGCTGATTTCAGAAGAATCTACGCAGATCAGTTTCTACTCGAGACGCAGCGTGTACTGTTTTTGACAAGACAAATATTCCTGGAAAGACCAGTGAACGCTACCCGGCGTTTCTGGTGGATTGTGGGGACTACTTGTGTCACGCTTCAGAGAAATACAGAACTGTGGAAAAAGAGAGGAGAGGTGGACTTTGGACTGCAGCTTTGCCTCAGATAAACAAAATAAAAACACAGAGGAGAAGAAGAAGAAGAGGTGTTTCCTTTCTTCACATCAGAAAGAAAAAATGGATTTATTCATTTGGCTATGTGGATGTGTACTGGCTTTTCTCTTGCCTTCAGCAGTCAAAACACAGGAAGGAGGTAAGTTTGACACTTTTGCTGCCCGCTCAAATCACTCTTTCACGCCTAGGTGATAAATTGGAATTAACCCGCTCTTTGTCCACCTAATCCATATCACAAGACTGCATAAGAGACGATTATCCCCCGTTAAACAAAACGCGTTATAAATGTGACGTTATAGTGAAACATTCACTTGAAGCATGTTAAGATTGCACTTACATCCGCAGCTTTCACTTACATCTCGAGCGTGCGTTGACACCAATGCTGCTGATTGATTATCTTAGTTTAAGCACGTTTAGGAGGGAGATTCCTGCTGCAGGATGCCCTGTCCTCTTTCAGCTCTGCAGCATCGACCCGTCACGCTCGGTCGGCTACAGAGGTGAAGATAAAAAATACAAAAAAGTGAGTAAACTTATAACAAGCAGTCATTGAAAACGAAATCCGCTCTGATTTTGTCAAACAAACTCATTTAATCATCCTTGTGGCCAAACGCGCGAGACTTGCGTGGCCGTTTCTAAATGTAGACAACTTTCTAACATGATTTTACATTTAGGTAGCATCTTTCTTTCCATCTCAGCGGTTTGTTTCCATCCCTCCTATAATAACCATAGGACGTTGGGATGTTGGCTTAGTTTCAATATTGATTTTTGTCATCTTGACAAACATTTTAACCATACGCTGTGGATTTTTTAATCTGCAGTTTAATCAATCGACTGTTCTCAGGAGAGCTCTTCAATAAGCGGGAAACTCTCTCGTTTTTCTATATTATTCCTACCGGGACTAATGTCAGTGTGAAAGGTCTGTAAGGTAGTGAGAAATGTAATTCAAATGACTTTTACGCACACATTACACCCCATTCTGTGACATTATGCGGTCGTTTTATCACATACATGGAAATATTATAGCTTTATATATATATTCGGACATATGCGTGCAGCAGCGCTTCCCGTTTGTGTGAAGAGGTTGCGGGGAATCTGTCCGTGCTACTGTCTCCGTCTACCGGGTGGGCAGCACTGGAGCTGCAGAGGCGCGGAGGTCGCACTCTATCGAGCCTTCAACCACGGAGGTTGCGGGGGTCTGTTATTTCCCAAGTCCGTGCGCGCGGTGTGGTTTGGTGCTGGATAAAAACACATCAGCAGCTGTGACGTGAAAATAAGTTTAAGCTATGCTATTAACACTGAATTTAAGGGAAATGGAAAGGCTCATCACGCTGGTGTAATGCGTTTAAAGCTTGTCTTTGAAGGTTTTTTGGTGCGCGTAAAAGAAATCTTTTCGCAAATTGCAGTACAGGAAACTGGATAACTCCCGTTCAGGCACTGAGCATCTCAGCTGCATGAGTAGAGACGTATTTTAATCTGTATGGCTACAACACACCTGTGGTCACTCCAGGTCAAGTCACTAATTCTGTCAATCGAGGTGTGCGTTTACGTTAACTCAAAGCGTCTCGTCCAATGACACGCTGATGATGAAGAACAACAAATATGCTTTATAATAAGAAACTAAGGCTGCTTAGCACTTTGAAGTTCCAACTTTTATTCATATTCAACTTTGTATGAAGGTGAAAAATGAATAAAGAAATAATTAAAGAAATAAATACATCTTGGACTATTTCTAATATGATTTAGAGGCGTGTGTTCTGCTTTAAGAAGTTTGTTGTAAAGGGTTTATTTTAAAAATGTGTTAATCACGGAGCGAGAAAGGGAAACTTTGAAGGAGTTGATGGCATTCTAGGCTTTATTAATTCAAGGTATTCAGGAGACTGACCGGTGCTTTTGCAGATCTCATGACTTGGATTGAGTGGCCGGTCTGCCAAAAGCTGTTTTGGAGAAAAACCAGTGCACACAGAGAGCACAGGGGAGGCATTCTTTACATCCCGCCTTCAATCTAATGAGAGAAGATACACTTACGTGTTGACGCTTTGTAGATTATAGCCTACTCCAAGACAGCCTGAGACGGATAACAACTGGTTAACTGATCAGCAACATAAAGAGGCCCGTGTTGAGATGCTGAGGTTGCATTGCAGAGCCATGACTTAGAGATGTTATAGTGTTCAGGGTAAATGTAAAAAAAAAAGTTTCACTTTGAACAAGAGACTATATTTATATCACAAATGTTGGTCATTTCTGAAGCACTGGCAAAGTAGATGCATTTTCACGAGGACTTGTTGATATAATGCAATTCTTCGATTAACAGAGTTCCTGTTGACAAAGATGAACCTTCATTTTTTTCTGGGGACTCCCTCAAGCTGTGTTTGAGGTCTCCCCACTGGTTCACTGAGAACCACACATGCTCAGCAGTACGTTCAAGCTTCCTCAGCAATAAACTTTTACAGATGCCTCTGCTCCGTTGTCTCCGGAGAGATGAGCAAGAAAAGCATAGTGGGGTGGAGAAGTGTGTGTATATACAGAGAGACAGGAGGGAGGGATGGAAGTGCAGGGGGGGAAGGAAGCAACAGAGACAGAAACGGGCACAGGGAAGCTGCAAGAAGAAGCGAACGAAACGGAAGAATGATTTTTTAGCCGCGCTGTTTGATCCTGTTTCTTTATTCCGTTTGATCACAGCTGTGCCTGGAAGGGAGATAAACGGACGTAATTGGCCACTCAAGACCCGCTGTCTGCTTCTATAGTGTCTCAGCTGAAAGATGCTGGATGATGAAACAGGCTCACTGTGATGCACAGTGCGACGAGTTATCTAGCAGTGGGGTGAATTGCCCACAGGTACGCGCTAAGGACTGGTTTGTGGGACTACTTTTGATGTCTCCAACAAATCCAGTGTGGCTTAAAAAGTCTGAAACACAGGGGGAAACATTTTTTTGTCCTGGTTTTGTAGGGAGAAAGTCAACAACTTAAGCCACATGCAGAGAACTTACCAACTTTGGTAGAGTTTAAAGTTCACGAGTTATTCAAATGATTGTATTTTGGTTGATCATGAATCAAGAGCACTGGGTTACAGAGAAGGCCTTAGACCCCTGCAGCGATGATATTTTCAAGAAATCCTCTTATCATAAGACAATTTATGGAGTTGTCAGTGGTGTAGTGGTGTCTAAAGAAATGGGTTGTTTTTATTTATTTTTAATTATTATTTTTATTGAGAAAAAAATGGCAGCTTACTACTGAATAGTGTCAATCAATCCATGGTGTGAATCAGAGGAGATTTAGAAGTGGGTATACATATGGAGAACTGAAAAAAAAGTGGGATTAGTCGGTATACCTGTCTATACCACTGAGGATGACAATTTTTTCTGTAGAATGTCAGAGAACTGCTAAAATATTGTATTGAATTTTCCTAAAACCCAAAGCTACATCTTCAGTTTGCATCTTTTGTCAAACCAACACTTTGCAAAATGACAAAAAGCAGCCGATGATTACCCCCGAGATGCTGCAGCCAGCGAATGTTTGACAGTTTTGCTTGAAAAATCACTAAAACCATTCATCAAGTGTCAAAATATTTATCAATTAAATTCCAATGGACCAATTAATCCAACTATTGTAGACTTTTGCTGTGATGTTGGGCACTGTGTATGTTGAGAGTGTCAGGACTTTTCTAATGCAGACATTGTTTTTTTTCAAGCCTCCACTGTAAACCCCTCATGCAACATATTCAGGCATCATGTTCCCTCATGGGGTCGTCTTGTAACAATTAAAAGTTACATCAGTTTGGGTCATGATGCTTTGTAGGCTCCAATTGTCAATCAATAAAACAAACCAACCATGTCATTTGTTCACACAATGGGGTTATAGCTCATTACATATTGAATTGACTCAGTGCAACTGACACAGCTGTTCTGTTTTACTTTGCTATCAGTTGTTAGCCCAGAATAATGCAGATATTGTTTTCTCCTTTCATTTTAATTACTCGGTGCAAAAAAAAGATTGGCAAGCAAACTTCAGAAATAGAAATACATCAGCATAAATCAAATAAGAAAGGAAGAGCGAGAGAAAGGGAACTAATGCTCACTCAGTATAAGCAGAAGATTATTATACAGCTGACTATAAAAAGAAGGGGCAATTAGTGGCTCAGAAATCTGCTCATCCATACATGTTTGTTTGTGTATTTCGGATATCTTCTTGTTTTTTCTGTGATTATGCTTCTCCCATGTGAGTGGTCCTTTATTAGAATCAGATGAGCGAGACGATTCACATATAGCCTATTAAAGACCATCAGGAAATGTTTCATCAGTATGTGTTTGTGGACTTCGTCCCACAGCAACACAATGAAACAATCAAGCAAGAGTTGAAGTATAATGGGAATATGTATATATATATATATATATATAGAGAGAGAGAGAGAGAGAGAGAGAGAGAGAGAGAGAGAGAGCGAGAGAGAGCAAGAAAATAAAAGCATTTGGTTGGTTAAATAGAGGGCGAGCATGAGAGGGCATTAGTAGAGTAAGAGGGACGCAGCAGAGTGTGAAGCAGTTGTTGAGTGGAGCCACCTGCAGTAATCCCGCCCTGGATTTATTCCTCTTCTCTGTCGAGCACAGTAGGGCTTCTGGCCAAGGTAACGCATATTAATAAATACTCTGATTAAAATAGATGCAAAAGAAACACAGTGTTCGGATGTAACTGATTGGTTTGTAGCTGTGAAAGTTTGATACAGAAGTACAAAGTTTCCCCCCTGAGAGGTCATTAAGAGCAACTCAAATTCATACTTTTGTTCTGCCTTTTTACTCTAATGGTTAGATTTAAATCTTTGACTACTGAATAAGCACATGTGTGGCAGGTGACACTTTGCTGGAGACTCCAAAATGGGATTCATTTTAATTAGCTTGCAGGCAGCAGGTGTTCCTCAGCAGGTCAAGGATTAAGGGTTATCCTTATTCATCTAGTGATTTAGACTGCGGTGATTTTCTTTTTCTTTTTCGCAGCACTCTCTGGAGAACATATTGAAATAACCCAGATGATGGGGTGTACAAATGCACAAAATAACATTTTAGAATCAATAAGAAGACATGAGTGTTGCCATCATTAGAATAATCACGGTTTAACAACAGGGGGGTAAGTCTACTGACATCAACAACC